TGCCCTGCCGACGCCTTGATTTTGGCTCAATGAAACTGATTTTGAACGTCTGGCCTGCAGAACGGTGCAAGGGTAAATTTGTGTTGTTTCAGGTCAGCACGTTTGTGGCGATTTGTTATAGCAGACTCAGGCCCGGTGGGCGAGGCCGGTGGCCGGATGAGAAGACAGAGAAGCAGACTGGTCAAGACATAAGGGGGATCGCTGTGGGGCACGGCCGCCCAACACCCTCTCTCCGCACCTATCCTTACGCTGTTGGTTCTCGGTGCTGACCTTAAGCCACATGCTTTAAATGAGCTCAACTCTGAGGGCAAAGCAGGGTGCGGTAGGGGGTGCGGTGGGGGGTGTGGTGGGGGAGAGCCGGTGGGAGCTACGCTGCAGATGGACACGCCCACCAGAGGCAGTGGCGGGTGGGCCCCTGGGTGCCGCTGCAGACAGACCTCCTCGCCCAGCTCTAAGAACACCAAGGCACAACTGAGGAGGGCCGACGGCTCGGCACGCAGCACCATCATCGGCCGCTCGCCCCAGCCTCCACCCGGCTTTTAGAGGCAGCACGTCACAGCTGGCCAGACATGTCCCCCCGTCTCCTCCTGGCCTGTCTTCCCAGCAGGCAGCACTGGGGCTCTGTGAGAAGGTCTCATGATGGGTTTTCTCAGGATCACCTGGAACGCTCTGAGACCAAAAGGAAGATACGGAGCAGAGGCATGTATGTACACTTGATAGCATTTCTTTAAACTCCGGGGAGAGTACCAAAGAGATTAGCCTTATTGGAAATATCAAAAAATGATGGTGGTGGTGATAGTTGGGGGAGGGGGTGATGGTGGCGATGGTGGCAGTGGGTGTGATGGTGAGGGTGGTGATGTGGTGTTGGTGATGACAGTGGTGGTGGTGGTGATGGTGATGGTGGTGGTGGTGGTGGAGGCGGCAGTGAGGGTGGGTGGTGGTAGTGGCAGTGGTAGTGTTGCTAGTATCGGTGATGGTGGTGGTGGCAGTGAGGGTGTGGTGGTGGTAGTGGCAGTGGTAGTGTTGCTAGTATCGGTGATGGTGATGGTGGTGGTGGCAGTGAGGGTGTGGTGGTAGTGTTGGTGATGGCAGTGGTAGTGGTGACAGTGGTGGTGACGGCAGTGAGGGTGGTGGTGGTTGTGGTGCAGGTGGCAGTGAGGGTGGGAGTGCAGTAGTAGCAGTGGTAGTGTTGGTAGTATTGGTGATGGTGGCAAAGGCAGTGAGGGTATGGTGGTGATGGTGGTGGTGGTGACGGTAGTGGTGATGCTGGTGTTAGAGAAAGAAATGACTGAACACTCTCTGGGCCTGGCACTATGCTAAACCCTTAACATTTCTACAGAAGTAGGTGCCCAACCTTCCTTCCAAGGAGTGGCTGGTGGATTTGAACCAGCAGGCTTCTGGTTAGCAGTCAAATGCCTTAGGCACTATGCCACCAGAGCTCCTTCCTTAAAGAGCAGTCTCTTAGTTTTCAGAACAACCCAATGAAGTGATTAATATCATTGGCCTCAGTTTATCAAAGATGAGAATGAGAACCAAAGAAGCTGATCGCTGGGCCCAGCTCCCAGCTGCAAGCACTAAAGCTAGGACTTGAAAACAGGTGCTCCAACTTGGCACCCAGCCCGGCCATCCTGCATAGCAGCACCTGCCCAGCTCTGACCCAAGGAGGATCCGGACGCCTGAGCAAGGCTGGTTGGCAGTGGGAGGGGAGAAGGCAGTGTCAGATTAGCCAATAGCAAGGAAAGCCCAGGCTGACATATGCTTACTTAGTAATCTGTAGTGAACAACTTCACTTTTTTTTTTTTTTTCTTCACCACATCAAAGATTCTGGCATCTGCCTCTCTCCCCACCCCATGGCACCTTCCTACAGAATCAAAGCTTCTTTTCAAATTGACAATCCCTGACAGGGACAGAGGACCCAGCAAGCAAGGTGAGCACGGGCTGACCGGTGCTTACTCATCTGCAGTGAACAACCTCACAGGGGTTCCACCCTGCATATAGGGTAAGCCATCTCTGGCAGCCGGGCCAAGGTTGAGGTCACGGTCCCCATGGCTCCAGGCCAGGCTTCCCCCAACACTCTCACCCCTGCTGGAGCTGCTAAACTGGGAGGAGTAGGAAGAGTTTGTGGAACCCAGGGCCCAGAGCTACCAGCCAGCATCCACTCACATCCGACCTGTTAGCCGTTTCCACAGGGTCACCCAGGACCCCAGGAAGGCCGCCTGAGGGTGGAACCGAAATGCCAAACAAGGTTCTTACATGGAAAATCTGATTGGAGATCTTGGCAGAGGTCCGAAAGTCCCAGGCGATGATGGTGCGGTCGGCAGAGTCCCGGCTGGACGCGTCTGTGCTGCTCAGAAACTCAGTGCCTTCATGGAGGAAGAGGATGTCCAGGGTCTGCTGGACAGTTGCCTTGTAGCCTCTCACCACCTACGAGGGTGGCCCCGTCACAATGGCGGCCTGGCGCCCTGCTTCCCAACCAAGCGAATGTCTGTCCCACTGCAGGGCCCCTCTGTGGAGGTTAGAAGGGCCCCCAGAGTCCCAAGGAAGAGTACACGAAGGGGGCCCCACCCCCTGCCCTGGGGGGCCTAAGCACATATTGACACCCTTATGTGAGTTGTGGGTCTAAAGCCATCAGCAATTCCCAGCTCACAGCATCCTGGCCTGTTGTTCCTGGAGGAACACATGTCATGCAGGGAGCAGGTGACCCAAGTGACAGGGTCGTATTTCAGCTTTGAAAAGACGTCTTACTTTCTCAGCACCATCGCCCATCAGTATCTCACAGCCTTTTCCTCGTAAACTAACAGCATCAGGTAACTGCAATTGTTCAGCTTTCCCCAGACATCTGACCACATTCAGCATCCATCCCAAAATGACTGGGCTGGGGAGGGGAGGTTTCAGTACCAGGACCAACAGACACCTCCACTTAACAAACTCAAGGGTGACCCTCGTCACAACTACAGCCTTCATCAGAAGCTCGGGCCAGGAGCACAGGAACGGGTCAGGGGCTGGCCCATTTACCAGCGGCTGGGGCGCCACCATGTGGCAACAGCCCAAACATGGCCCTTGTCCTCAGCCCTTCCTGCTGTTGAAATGAGCCAAGCCTTGACAAATGGAAGGAAAAAAAAAAAACCCTGGAGTTCACATCTTTTCATATTTTGCACCAAAGTGAGACATTTCCCGTCACTCTCTTTCAAATGGGCTCAAGTGGAATACGTTAAATACAGCACCCATAACCTCACTTAAGAGGGGTGTTTTTAGGCCCATTGTGCAGATGAGGAAGAGTGAGGCTGAGAGATGTAGGGAGTTGTCCCACGTCACCTGGCCAGGGGTGCAGAAGCTGAATCCTGACTACAAGGCTGAGCCTCTCTGCACCCCAGCTACCTCCCTGGGCCCATACCCCGCACTGGATGAGAGCTTGGGGCCAGCTGCCTGCCCGCCCTCCTCTGTTCAGGGATTCCATGCGTCCGCTGCCCTCTCTAGGCTCACAGCCGAGCCCCAGAGCGCAGCAGTGGGACTAAGCAAAGGGGCTCTTCCCCAACCCCCAGAGCTGGGGCAGGAGCTGGGCACCGGCAGGGCATGGGCCCGTCACTGCAGTGCCCAACATCTGCTCTGTGTACCAGAGTCCACACACCTTCCACTCACCCCCAAGGTGGCGTCTGGAATCTACTTTGGTGGGAACAAGAAGGGAGGGGAGGGGTGAGAAGAGGAGCAGAGGGTCGGGGAGGGAGCACCTTCTCCAAACCCACCCCCTGCCCAGGCTCGCCTCACTGGACCTCCCCAGCCAGCCACCTGGGGCTTCTGTGCACCTAGACCCCGCCAGGCCTGAATGCTGCCCCCTTCTCCCAAAGTCCTCTCTGCCCACAGTCCAGGTGAGGAAGGCACTGCAAAGGTGGCAGCTTTTGAGAGAGAGAGGAGTAAAGTCTGGCCCAACACATGTCCCCGGCAGGGGCGGGTTACCCAGGAGGCAAGGTAAGCCCAGGCTCACCTGTGCTTACTCCCTAACCTGTAGTGAACGATTTCGCATTTTCACCACATCCAAGCTGCTGCTTCTGGGTCTGGCTGGCATCTGTCTCTCCCAACCCCACAGCACCTTCCCACAGAAACAAAGCCTCTTTTCAAATTCACAATCCCTGACAGGGATGGAGGACCCAGGGACAAGGTAAGCATGGGCTCACCTGTGCTCACTTAGTAATCTGTAGTGAACAGTTTCCCGTGTTTTCACATCTCACGCTGCACCTGCTTGCTGGGTAATCTGCCCTGGGGCCCGTGGTGTGGCCTGGCCACTGCTCCTCAGTGGCAGGGGCACACAGAAGCCCAGGAAACTAGCTGGCAGTGGGCCTCTGTGCAGGTCCAGGCCCTGGGCATTTTGGTGTCCACCCCTGTGACAGTGTCAGGGGGTACAGCCTGCACTCCCTGCACCCCCCAGGGATGGCACTGCGAGGAAGCTCCTCACAGAGGGGCTGGCGGCCGAGAGGTGATGTACCAGCTGACCGCAGCAGGGCCTGCCTCCCGAGAACGACTGCGTGGGGGAGCTGACGCCTGCTTCTGGGTGTTTTCTGAGCACGGCTGCAACGGCAGACTCATCAGGGCGTTGTAAAAGTGAATGCTCAGGAAAGCAGCTGTGTTACAAGCAATGCTGCCAACATCACTCTGAGCAGGAGGCCGACCTTGGCAACAACTGCATGTGCCCCATGAAAGAGCAGGAGAGCCGTGTGAGCACGTGGCTGGTGGGTTTTACGGCAACCTTAATCACAGGGCCGTGGGATGGCACTGCCTAGGCCTAACTAGCTGCAGCCAATGGCGCTCCTCACTGGGCCTCTGCTGGCCGCTGGGCCTCGTCAAGCGAGCAGACACAGGCCAGAGTTCTCCAGCTTTGGGGAAAGAAGAGGACACACGGCCCTCCATGATGCGCACCTGATACCCCTAAACTCGGCCCAGCTCAGTCTGGAGGGCCACTGCAGGACTCAGGGCTGCTCTGATTAACCTGAAGGCAGAGCCTCCCTTCTGTGCATCCCTGCCACTTTCGTGTGAGTGGAGGTCGGGATGGGGGCCAGGCAGCTGACTTCCGGTGCAGCCGTGGGACAGCCCCGACAGGCCTGGACTAGACTGGAGCTGAGCACTAAGTACTCCCAGGCCTTAGAAAGAGGGACCTGGGGTAGGCTGCCCAGCGCCCCTTCGCCCCACCCAAACCAAAGGAAGGGAGGAGGGGTCACTGCTCGGGCTCCCTCAGTCGGCTGCCTCACCACCTGCCTACCTACGGGCTGCTTCCCACATTTCTAAGTCATTCTCAGCCAGCACCCAGGCTGGAAACTGTAGGCATCCGTTAAATTAAAACAAACTGCCATTGAGTCAATTCCGACTCATAGTGACCCTACAGCACTGAGCAGAACCACACGACAGGGTTTCTAAGGCTGTCAATCTTTAAGGGAGCAGACTGCCACATGTGTCTCCCAGGGAGCGGCTGGTAGGTTCAAACCAACAAGCTTTTGGTTAGCAGACGAGCACTTAACCACTGTGCCAGCAGAGCTTCATAAGGGCAGTTGAATTAATGGCTAGATAAATGAACGAATGGGCATGTGAATAGGCTAGGACCACAACTACAAAAAGTAACCACCACGGACCTTGGGCTCCCAGCAACATCCCAACACGTGAGGCTAAGGCAAGACACTAGCTGTTCTCCTCACTCCACCAGGACCCTTCAGGGACGCAACACTTATCAGCAGGTACTTCCCGTGACCCTGACATGGAGACACAGGAAACTAGGCCCCTCGAGGAGCTCCAAGACCATGGGGGACAGAGTCTGGGCTCAACATGGCATTGGCACAGACCTCCAGTCACAGGGTTTGGAGAGGGTCAGTGTGGGGGAGGGACGAGCTGGGCCGGAGCACAGGGGAGGCTCTGAACATTTACACAGATGGCTGGCAGGGCATGGAGGCCTGACAGCCTCTCACTGGCTGCATGACCTGGGGCAAGTATCTCAGTTCTGTGCCTTAGTCTCCACACCTGTAAAGTGGGGATAAGACTCAGGGAGTAAACAGGGGTGACATGCCAGCCACCTGTCTGACCCGTGGTGGATGTACACGGTCTTCTCCTCCCAGACCAGCAGAGCCAGGGTCCTGGGATGGGATGGGTGTCCTTAGGCAAGTCCTTTCAGCTCAAGCTTCAACTCAAGGCCCACTGAGGGGGCACAGGGCCTGGGGGCTCACTAAGGGCCGTTCTCTATGGTTTAACTCATTCCGGTTGAAGGAGCCAATCCCATAGGATGACACATGTCATCCTATGCCCTGTTGATAAGTTTTAAAAGATCAAGAAATTAACCAAGAAAAGAAACCAGAAAAGAAACTCGTATTTCTTACATGAGAAAAGAACATGCTTGGACTTCTCCTTAACCTGGCACTCAGGACAATTACTGAGCTATGCCTCCAGACCCAGAAGCAATAAGAAAAAAAGACTGGGGAGTTTGACTACATGAGAATAATAGTAATAATTTAAAAGGAGCTCTGGTGGCCTAGTGCCACTAACCAGAAGGCTGGCGGTTCGAACCCACCAGCCACTCCTCGGAAGGAAGATGGGGCAATCTACTTCCGTAGTGATACTGCCT